TATAGATCAATAACAAAAAACATATACCAAAAAAAAAAAAAAATAGCTAAGTTTGCCCTAACACACAAATTCCACTTGGTAGGATTCAGGTTTTGTTTGCAATAGTGATTTGCCTACTTAGTGACAACATCTACCCTCAAAAAAAAAAAAGATATATTTATATATCCTTATTAATAAATTTATTTTTCAGAAAATGATACTGACACATAATATATAAAGATCAGTTTGAAGAATGAAATAAAATAAATATTTTAACACTGAACAATTTCAGAGATATATTAGGAGCATCTTGGCTTAGAACTCAGTTTCTGAATATTTTAAATGACTTTATTTATGAATGAATGAAATACTCCCTACATGTTATTGCAATATTTTTGGTGTCCTAGTTTACAATTAGCTTTTTCTCTAATCTTTATTTCCCACTCTTACATTTGTTTCAAATCAACAGCTTAGTGCAATAGAAATGTATATTAAACCAAAAATAGGATTTTACCAAATGTCCTGTCCCCCAAATTTGTATCTTTTTCTCATTCACACCACTGTTAGTGAAAATTTAGGCAATGGATTATCACATTTAGCTAAGTACCTTGCTACCAAACATTAGCAGTGGCTAGCTAATGTGATATTAAATAGCCAATAGAACATACCTATCTGATTCTACATTGTATACATACATGTATTCATTATTTTCCTGGTAATCTTTTTGTGGAGCTTCTACAGTGGTAGAACTAATGTGCTGCCTTGATAAACAGCTTCTTTTAAAACAGAGAAAAGTATGTAAAAACTGACATCCTTGAGATATAGTGAGCCTGTTATGTAATTATTAAGGCTGACTACTGAAGCTGTTCAAAAAATTCATGTTTATTTGTTTTATGTTACATTATCTTTAGATTTGGCTATAAATAGTAATAGAAGTAGAGAACATTAGACACAAAAATATTAAAAACAGAAACTTAGGTCATCAAATATCATATAACCTTCATTTTTGGCAAATCAACATAATTACTAATAAAAATATTGACCTTAGAGATAGACAATAATCCTCAACATAAAACATTTCCATGTATACCTTATTTATATATATATGCATGTTCTTGTTTTCCTGATTAAAAAAACAATTAGTATAACTAGAATATCCATGTTATATTATCATAATCTGACTTCTAAATCCTAAATAATTCAAGATAGTCAAGCAAACAAAAAAGCCTTTGCTAAATATTTCCCTTTCTACCATTATTCTTTAAAAATTCTAATACAGTTAATGAGTTTGATGAGAAATTTCAATAGACTGTATTATATCTGCCAAATTCATAACTGAAATGAAGATAACAAAACATCTAGAGAATGAAAAGTTTCAAAGTACAAACATCTTTCAACAGGTAACCAATAATGTTACAAAGAAGTCAATTAAAGACTTTAGAAATGGCAATACAGTTTCACCAAAATACTATCTAACAGATTGTAAACTGTATGGATGGGGAGATCACACTTTCTACTACCTTTGTAAAGGAGATTTAGATAAAATACTTAAAATCATTACTGTGAAGCATGCCCAGGAGATTTTATAAAAACAAGCCCTCCACCTTTAAGAGAGCCACAAATTATAACATAAAAAACTGTAGTTTTAAGTGTGGCCTCTCAACTCAATGTTCTTAAGTATGAAATTATAGTACTTAATTCAGTAAAGAATAATTTTACATAGTAAAACTGCAACACTTGAAGTTCTAGAATACACAAAATTGTACAACATAGCTTCATTTTTGTATGTTTTTCCCCCAAAATCACATGGAATGTCAAGTCCCTAGAAATTGAGTTGTTTTTAATAAAATCCGCTATTCACAGACTGAGGATTGGTGCTCTTTGCTCTGATTCTTCTCCATGTTTCCAGGCTCCATCATAGCAGATAATATTAACATTGATAACTTTTCAAGAAAAAGCCTCAGAGTTATTTCTGACTTTAAATATCCATTTTATCATAAAATCCTATTGCCCTCTGTTACCACTTCCTCCAAATCTGCAGCTTCTTTTTCATTCCTTCAGCTACATCCTGTTCCTGGCCCTTGACTTTTTCCCCCTAGACTACTGTACCCTATTTTCATGAGATAGCGTTTCCACATTGTCTTTAATTCCACTGCCAAAGTTATTGTCTCTTCTTGACATTTTGCCTATGCCACCTACCTATTCTACCTGGGCTTTTCAAGGCTGTTACAATGCATTCCTATTCTGCTCAAGAGTCACATCCTCAACTACATATTAATTTATTTATAAGACTGCTGCTGACTTTCAGCTCCCCTTAAAAATGCCAGCTCTTCTGGACTCTGGTAAATGTACTAAATTCTTCCTTCAGGTAGTCACATTTGTTCCTAATCCATCTGAATATGGAATTCCTGTAGCATTTAGCCCCCAAACACATAGGGCAACATATTAGGCAATTTTTGTGTAATAATTACATACATTGTTTTTCGGTTGTGTTAGCCCCATTGTACTATAGGGATACCAGATAAGCACTTTCAAAGCACTGCATCTTTCAAAGCACTCTTATCTACTATGTCACTTCACCAAAATAAGATGATTCATTACATAAAACTATTATAGAAAGCTTAAATAAGCAAAAAAAATGTATATTCTTTAAAAAAATATTTCTATTGTTTAACTTTTAAACATATGGCCTTTTATTTCCATGGACAGCTTGACATATTTTGGTTTCTATTAAACTTCACTCTCAGTACTCATTTTCAAAGCATGGCTAGAATTTAAAGTGCAAGTTGAGGTTTGATATGGAATATATACACTTTTACATCCTGCGTCTAGATCAGCAATGTCAACCCCAAGAACCCTGAGATATAACTGAATCTTCACACAAGCAAACAATTTCAGCACCAAAAAAAGAGAACAGCGTGTCTTCTGAAGAGAACCCCTGAAGGAGTTCCCTTCCCTGCGACGGGTTTAGACTAGTTTCTCTATCCCGGGGGCTTTCAATTAGAAAAAGTCAATTAATCACTTGTTAATATCTGGAAAAAATACCAGGGAAAGGCAATCTGTTTACTTAAAAGAGAGGAAAGGGGGCGATGGATATCACCTTTTCATAAAACTCAGCAGCTAAATTAAGCTTTACATTCAGTACCTACCGACAATCTTAAAGATTTTTTTACTACCTAATAATAAAAGCAAGTCTCATTTAATTTAGTCCCTTCTCCAGCACCGTCTCAAGCTGTCAGAATTTGTCAAGGAAAAAAATTAAAAAAGAAGTGAGGGAGACACTAGGATTCCCGGCTACATCGCTTCATTTTCCGAAATCACATCAGTCTTGGATTTCCTTCACTCCAAACTAAGCTCTCTGATTCCAAATATAGTTCTTTAACCCCCGCCTCGCCACTCAATTACACATAAACCTTGGCAACTACAGAACCACAGCAGAAACCCCTTACAAATCGGCTTGCTATTCATCTTGGAAGTCATGCCCTGCAGCAACTGCCTATCGCCGAACTGAGGGATATTACCCAAATACAACGCAACGGAATCAGACATGCAGAGCACACACGGCTTCCGTGAAAGAGGGAGACGCGACCCGGGAAAAGTGCGCTCCTCACCAGCCTCGGGACGATCCACAGGGGCTGGGGGTGCGGGGGTTCCCAGAAGGGAGGGGCAGAAAAAAGACCGAGTGGGGGAATCCTTCCCTCTCAAGTGAAAAGAACAGGATCCCCGGCCTCAGGCTGCAGCCCGTCCTCGCTAAGGAAATGAAAAGGCAGTCAGCGGGCCCTTTGCTCGGAAAGGCAGAATGCAGACACTTTCCGAGGTCCGGACACAAGCCGGTCCTCAACCTCCCAGGGGAGGCGAGGGGTGTCCCATGGGTGGCTGAGGGGATGCCCGGCCCGCTAGGAGCAGCTGGAGGCGGAGCACTTTCGTCTAAGGAACACCGGAGTCGTGTCCGGCCGGTGCCCGGGGCAAGTACTGTTAGCTACAACGGCGTGGGGCCGCCCGGGTTGGGGGAGGGGGAGGAAAGAAAGGGGGTGGAGAAGGGATTCCCCCCTCTCTGAAGAGCGTCGCGGAGGATGAGCCTGGGCTGGCGGAGAGCGGCATGCTTCAGACTGCGGAGCCAGGATCCCGCCGCCCGCACCGGCAGCGCGGAGCCCCGCAGCGCCCGCCGCACCGGCCCCTGGGTCCCCGGGGGCCAGGGACTTCGGCTGCGAAGGTGCTGGAGCCTGACACCTCACCGGGTCGGCCCCAACTCCCGGGGGGGCCCGCGGGAACACCCCCAACCTCCAGCAGCTCTCAGCGGTAGTAAAATGCACCCCCCCAGACCCCCACCTCAGCCTTTCCTCCTCCCGAGGCCGCAAAGAAGGGCCACCTCAGGCAAGAAGCCTGAGGCCGGACGGGGGCAGTAGCCGCAGCAGTCCCGGACCTCCTCCCACGGTTACCTGTGAGGACTCCGACACGGATTTGATGATCGTGGTTAGTGAGGATCATTCCCTCGGTCGCCATGTTTCCCAGCGCAGTCACCGCACTGACAGGAGCCGGGAGAAGCCGGAGCCCGGTGCGCGCGGGCCGGGAGCGCGCTCGCCTCGGAGAGCGCGAGAGCTAGGGAGCCCGGGGAGCGCGAGGCGAGCGGGGAAGGAGGGGGAGGCGGCAGAGTGCACGGTGGCCTGCGTTGGGTAGAGGCCGCGCCGGGAGTGCGCGGGTCCGCGGAGGAGGCGGAGTCAAGGCGCGCGACCCTGAGTCCGGCTAGGAGAAGGCGAGCTGGGGTTGAGGGACGCGGTGGCCTGGGGAGAGCACGCGGAGGTGCAGGAGAGAAGCCAGAGAAACCGGGCCGCTCTGCAGAGCGCGAGACCCAAAGCGGCTGGATGGCTGGACTGAGGGGAAAGGAGATCACACGCTCTGGAGGTTGCGGAGGCGGACTCGGGGACAGGGGCGGAGCTACACCCCAAGGCGTGGAACTCGTGGAGAGTGAGGGGAGGAGTGAGAGCTCCGTGGCAGAGTATTGGAAGCGGGAAGGAGCCGGCCCAGCCGGAGTAGGACCTGGGAGCGCTCCTGGGCGCGCGAGTAGCACCGGATTGGCTGGGGGAACGCGGAGCGGGTGCGCGCGAGGCACGAAGGCAGCCTCAGCCGGGCCCCAGACAGAAGCAATCCCCTGCCGAGCCTGGCGCCTGGCCCGTTGTCTGCCGGCTCGGCTGGCTCTTCCCGGCGGCCAAGCCCCTCTAAGGAGGGACCGCGAGGGGAGCGAGGCGGCTTCGCACGCCAGGCCTTTCCTCACAGCTCTCTGGAGCGGCCGGCCACCCCACTGAATGCGCCGGGGAAACTGGAGGTGGCCGAGAAAGCTGCGTGGGTGACAGAGCAGCGGCTACTGTAACAGAGAGCCTGCGGTGGGCGAAGGTATCCTGTCCCGCCACATCTTAGCGGCTTGCTTCTCAGCGCTTTCTGAGGAAGGATTTCCGCCTCACTGGGGCTTTAGGATTCCATCTCCAAGTTAGTACCTACGAGACTATCCTCGTAAGCGAAGCTTAGGAGTCTGACTAGGGCATCCTGAGTGGCATCATTTTCTCTTGCTGCCCCATAGTTTCATAGCCTTTATTAAGCCTTCTCTCCACAAACTGTTCTTTTATATGAAAAGCATCTGTCTACTTAGGGAATGAGGACTTGTTCCACCCGAACCACAATAAATTCCTATGGAAATTGAGTTTCTTTTCAGTAATTGTGAGATATAAGATTACCATGAAAATAGCTTTTGTTGCTATTTATTTCCATGTGCCTGTCATAAAATGTGTTATTAATCACCTGTGGCTATTTTATGTCGGTTTCTTAATTAGCTTTCTGGTCCTTTCAACTTCTGACTTAAAATTATACGTCATATATGTATATTTTTTTCTTCTTTTCAGCCATGGTAAAACCTGGAAGCATAAAAATGAAAAGCAAAGTGAACTATTAAAAAATGTATAATCATCAGCATTTGTACACAATTAAAATCTCAGGCTGGGCGTGGTGGCTCACACCTGTAATCCTAGCACTCTGGGAGGCCAAGGTGGGAGGATCGATCAAGGTCAGGAGTTAGAAACCAGCCTGAGCAAGAGCAAGACCCCATCTCTACTAAAAATAGAAAGAAATTAATTGGCCAACTAAAAATATATAGAAAAAATTAACTGGGCATGGTGGCCCATGGCTGTAGTCCCAGCTATTCTGGAGGCTGAGGCAGAAGGATTGCTTGAGCCCAGGAGTTTGAGGTTGCTGTGAGCTGTGCTGACGCCATGGCACTCTAGCCTGGGCAACAGAGTGATACTCTGTCTCAAAAAAGAAAAGAAAAGAAAAATTTCAGTCAATTTGATTATGAGTTTTGTATTGTTCCAGTTGGAATGTGAAGTTATTCACCCTGTGACTGAGGATTCACATAGTTATATATTTCATTTTAAATAATGAGAAGTACAAAGGAGATGATGGAATTGATGTGGGATAAAATAGCAAATTTGAGGGGTAGGGAGTATGTGTATTGCTAGTATTGTTGACTGTGGATTAAAAATTTTAGCCAGGTCTTGAACTCAACTCCTGTAATTATCGCTGGAGATCCTGTGGCCAAGGGATTGTTAAATTAGATTCAAATAAGAGATACAGATGAGAAAGTACATCCAAGAAAATGATTTCCTTTATCTCAAAGTAAACGTTAAAACCAAATAGTTGGTTCTATAGTTACCTTTCTAACTTTATTCTCTGCAGTACTCTTAAATTTTAAATGATTAGAAAATAACCTGAACTTTTAAAGACATAAATTCTAAACCACTAACAAGTTCTGTGACCTTAAACCAACTTGGGCCTTTTCCTTCATCCTTTAAATAAGGTGGTAGACTAAATAAGTGCCCACTAAGTGGTAGACTAATAAGCACATTTTAACTTAGAATATTCTATAATTATTCATGGAAAGAAACTGGCACTTTTGTTTCACAAAATAGCAGAGGATAAGAGATTAACTTTCTGCATCTATAAAAAAGGTAATGATGAAATTCACTAAAATTTACTTGAGAAGGATGAATATGAATTAAGCTTTGTAAAGTGCATGGAGGTTTGTTAACATTTGTTATTTTTTGCTGAATGTTAATACAAAAATTGCTAAAAATATTAATAGAACTAAGTTATAAGAGATGCTTGTCTTCCAACATTTTTTCTCAAGTGTATTTATCTGTCCCAAATTCAGCAAGCTTTAAAAAGCAAAACTTACATAGAAAAAATTCATTGACCTTGCTGTCTTATGTGACCTTTTACTGCTGGTTATTGAATGAATATTATAATATGTACACATTCTTTTACTCTTGTTACAGTGTGACATTTCTTCAAAATTCATCCTGGAATCAAGTACTATACCAAAGAAAAATTTCTGGAAGGTAGGAAAGAGTAGCATTTTCCAAATATCAACAAAGGTCTTAGAAAACATAGGGCATGGGGGAGGGGAGGGGTAGGGGTGACCAGAAGTAGAAAAAGTTTTGACAGTTTGTGTGTAAAGAATTAAAAGTGCCCAGAAATTTATTCTCTCCATTCTTATGGTTTTAAAATAAAACTACAAGAGTTTACATTAACCATCTGAGACAACATAAAAGATAAGTAACATCTTTCATAATGATTAGCACTTTGAAGATGAAACTTTTATCAGTAGAAATTAACTTTGAATTTTTTCTACTACTGGCATATTTACCCTTAGCTCTTCAATTAACTCTTAGTTTTCCTGTGGTTAATCACAATTTCAATGTAAATAAGGCAAAATCTCATGGACTTTTCTGGGGCCAGACTCTCCTCATTAGCACTAGATTGTAGACAAGAATGAATTTGGGAATGGATTATGCTTTCTCTAAGGCTTATTCCATTCTTGCCTCTTTCCTGATTAGCTGATGCCCACAGTTAAAACAGAGTCCATTAAAGCATTAAAATGAGTACAAGCAACATTTTGAATACAGTAGTCACCTCTTATCCTAGAGGGATCTGTTCCAAGACCCTCCCCACCCCCATGGATGCCTAAAACCTTGGGTAGTACCAGAGCATGTATATACTATTTTTTCCTATAGGTACATACTTGTGATACAGTTTAATCTATAAAGTAGTCACAGTAAGAGATTAACAACAATAACTAATAATAAAGTAGAACAATTATAACAGTATCCTATAATAAAAGTTATGTGAATGTGGTCTCTGTCTCTCTCAAAACATCTTATACTACATTCATCTATTTTTGGACTGGGGTTGATAGCAAGTAACTGAAACTGAGGAAAGCAAACCACAGATAAGGGAGGACAACTGTATACTTAATGCTACTGAATTGTACACTTCCATATGGTTAAAATGGTAAATTTATATATGTATATTTTACCACAATAAAAAATGGGTGGAAAGTGAAGCTTTGGTTGATTTTAAGCTTTTTCCTCCAAAGATAGCTAAATTGTAGTCTAGATGAACTTTAAATTGGCCAAATTAGGTATTGATTGTATTCATTTCCTAGGATTGCTGTAAGTGTCACAAACTGGATGGTTTAAAACAAATTTATTCTCTCATGGCTCTGGAGGCTAGAAGTCCAAAATCAAGGTGTCAGCAGAGCCATGCTCCCTGTGAATGATCTAGGAAGAATCCTTCCTTGCCTCTTTCTAGCTTCTGGTCATTGCCAACAATCCTCAGCTTTCCTTGCCTTGTCATGACATCACTCCAAAATCTGCCTACTTTATATGGCCTTTTTCCTGGTGTGTATCTTCATATACACACCTTCAGATACCTTTTTTTATAACTAGCTCAGTCATGGGATTTAGGGCCCACAGTAATATGAACTCAACTAAGTTTATATACAAAAATCCTATTTCTAAGTAAGATCATATTCTGAGGTTCTAGTGGATGTTAAATTTAGGGGGGATGGTATTCAACCTAGTATGGGCAGTGATAGATTACATTACTATATATTTTCATGAAAACATATAAATTAGAAATTCAGCCTATGAGGAAAGAAGGTTCAAAGGTTTCGTTAAAAGCTAGGATTCAGGCCAGGTGCTAATGCTGTAATCTTAGCCCTTTGGGAGGCTGAGATAGGAGAATCACTTAAGGTCAGGAATTCGATACCAGCTAGAGCAAGAGTGAAACCAGAGACCCCATCTCTATGGAAAAGATAAATAAATAAATAGAAAAATAGCCGGACATGGTGGCATGAGCCTGTAGTCCCAGCTACTTGGGGGCCTGAGGCAGGAAGATTGCTTGAACCCAGGAGTTAGAGGTTGCAGTAAACTATGATTACAGCACTTCACTCTAGCTCAGGTAACAGAGTGAGACCATGTCTCAAAAAGAAAAAGGGAAAAAGGCTATGAGTCAGAAATTAGACACATTCAAAGAAAATGTAAGTCTATAGAATAGATTACTGGGGAAATATTTTATATTTGACCTAAGTTACCTAATGCTTTTTCCCCAGAAATAGTTTTCTAAATTAAAATTTTCCAAAGTCTAGTGAGATAAATTTATTCGTATCTTCAAAACAAATTGGCATTTTGCTTTCAGTTCTGATGTCCTTGTTAACACTTAGTGACGTGAGGTAAGCTGAGCTACCTCTTATTGCCCATGGAAACTGAGGCACTTATTTGGGAACTACGAGGACAGTGTTTTCCAGTGTCTGTCATGTTTATTAAAATAAATTTAAGCTTTTCCTTGGGCTTTTTAATTAATATCTCTGCTGCCCAGATTGCTGCTTGAATAATTAATTTATGCCCTGGTCCTTTGTATTTTTCCCATCCTTTCTTTCTTCTCCTGAAGTCCCCAGTTGGAAATCCAGATGTCTGAGGACATTTTTGTTTGCAAATAACTGATCCTAGTTTAAACCAAAAGGAATTCATTGACTCATGCAGCTAGCAAGTCCAGAAATGTGTATAGCTTCACGTTGGCTAGATTCAGGATCTGAAACCATGTTACCAAGATGCCATTTTTCAGCTATGCTTTCTTCTTTGTTGACTTCATTCTCACATTGGCTCTTCCTACATGGTGGCAAAGATGCCATTGGTGGCATTGGCTTCTCTAGGCTATAATTTAGATCAGTAGTTCTTGAACGTGTCTGGGGACCCAAAACCCTCTTATTGATTGAGAGAGACAGAGTCTTGCTTTGTTGCCTGGCCTAGAGTGCCGCAGAGCAGCCTAGTTCACAGCAGCCTCAAACTCCTGAGCACAACCAGTACTCCTGTCTCAGCCTCTCAAGTAGCTGGTACTACAAGGGACATACCACCATGCCTGGCTAATGTTTTCTATTTTTAGTAGAGATAGGGTCTTGCTCTTGCTCAGGGCTCAGGCTGGTCTTGAATTCCTAAGCTCATGAGATCCTCCTGCCTCGGCCTCCCAGAGTGCTAGGATTATAGGTGTGAGCCACTGGACCTGGCCTGTCAAAACCCTTTTAGATGGTCTATAATACTACAATCCCCTGCCTTCAGGCATGGCCCTGTACTGGTCTGTGGTCTGTTAGGAACCCGGCCGTGCATCACCAACTGAGCTCCATGCCCCAACCCCCATGAAAAAATTGTCTTCCATGAAACCAGTACCTGGTGCCATAAAGGTTGGGGACTGCTGGTCTACAAGATCAAAAAGATTTTTATATTAATACTAAGGCATTATTTGCCTTTTCACTTTCATTTTCTCATTAGATACAGTGAAATTTTCCAAAGACAACATGATATGTAATGTTATCACTCTGATAGCTAATGGAACATATACTTGTATATTCTTACATTTAAAATTTTTAATATAGTAAATATTGAGATTTATATATATATACACACACATACACCTATATAAACAAAAGCTCTTTAAAGTCCTCAGTAATTTTTAAGAATGTAAAGGGTCCTGAGACCAAAATTGAAAGCCATAGATTTAGATTGTGTACCAATCCCCAAAGCAAGAGGAGTGGCATTTTTTGATTGTTTAGGCCTCAGTCACACATTCGGACAGAGGATGGAGATGAGCCGCACCTTTACCAAATGGACTGAGATTGATGCACTGATAGCTTATCAGTTAGTTCAACTCTTTTTATAGACTCCCATTTCTCTCCACCATACTATAGAGTTTATTCTACCCACACAATCTCATACTAATATTCAGAAGGTAGAGAAGTTCTTTCCAGGTGTGTACTGACAGTTTAGAAATGTAGGTCACCATTTATTTATGTGGCTGCTTATTTGATACAAGGAAAACACCAGCCTGGGCAATATAATGAAACCCACTCTCTACAAAAATAAAAACTAGGTTAGAGCTGGAACCCATACTACTAAGTGAAGTATCCCAAGAATGGAAAAACAAGCACCAGATTATTCTCCAGCAAACTGGTATTAACTGAGTAGCACCTAAGGGACACATAGTACTACGTAATGAGGTATTGGGCAGGTGGGAGGGGGAGGGGGCGGGTATATACATACATAATGAGTGAGATGTGCACCATCTGGGGATGGTCATGATGGAGACTCAGACTTTTGGGGGGAGGGGGGGAAATGGGCATTATTGAAACCTTAAAATCTGTACCCCCATAATATGCCAAAATAAAAAAATTAAAAAAATATATATATATTTCCAGAACTAAAAAAAAAAAAAAAAAACTAGCCAGGTGTAGTCCTAGTTTACTCAGGAGGCTTACGGGGCAGAATTGCTTGAGCCCAGGAGTTTGAGACTGCAGTAAGCTATAGTGGCACCACTACACGCTAGCCTGGGCTACAGAGCAAGACCCTGTCTCTTAAAAAAATAAAGAAGGAAGAAGCAGGAAAAAAAAGGAAACCGGGAACAAAAAGTTTTTCTAATTTCTAAAGAAAGCACTGATTTTTATCCCTCCATAATTAAAAAAAAAAAAAGTAGACTGTAGAAGAAGAGGGCAGTATTCTTAGAGAAAGGAAGGACTATTAGATAAGGGAAAGGAAAGTGAGATTTGTTAAATGGGAAAGTAATATTAAGTGCCTCCAAAAGCTATTTGATTTCTTGAAAGTTTTTAAGACTCAGTCTGGATGTCAAGAAAAGATAGTCCCAAGCTTAAAAACTGACATGGATTGAGTTAAGTAAACTTTTTAAAAAATCAAAAAAGCATTATGGGCCAGGCGCGGTGGCTCACGCCTATAATTCTAGCACTCTGGGAGGCCGAGGCGGGCAGATTGCTCGAGGTCAGGAGTTCAAAACCAGCCTGAGCAAGAGCGAGACCGTCTCTACTATAATAGAAAGAAATTAATTGCCAACTAATATATATAGAAAAATCAGCCAGGCATGGTGACGCATGCCTGTAGTCCCAGCTACTTGGGAGGCTGAGGCAGCAGGAATTGCGAGCCCAGGAGTTTGAGGTTGCTGTGAGCTAGGCTGACGCCATGGCACTCACTCTAGCCTGGGCAACAAAGCGAGACTCTCTCTCAAAAAAAAAAAAAAAAAAGCATTATGCTTGTCTTAAATTATTATTAAGTGGTTTCCATGTAACCAAAGCTTAAAGCCCAGCTTTCCCAGCAAAATATTTTTTCTATAAAAACAATATACAAAACAAAAATATTTTGTTAACTTAAGTAATTTCATTTTCCACCCCCCAGATTGACTAATAATTGGGGAAAATATGGTTTATAGGAACATTTATATCATGTTTTATATTTAAAATAAACCTTAAGTAAAAATTCAAAATGTTAGGAAGCATAAGTGAGTTCTTAAGCAGAGAAGATGGATTTTTCAGTTATTCTGAAAATTCTCATTTTACTATGTAATAATTATAATTCATATTTATCCACCTGTGTAACTCCTGTGTGGGATTGAATGGTTGCAGAGCACACTTTCTGTGTTAGAAACTCTTCCTTTCTTACACAGAAGCTTGTTTTCTTCCCATTTCCTAATATTTGATGACTAAATGCAGAACATATGAAGCAATAGGGACTTTGAATTGGTAGCAATGCAAACTCCTCCCAAGGTGCCAGAGAGGCTATTAGAAATTTGGCTTGGTGTACAACAGATTGCAAAAGCCTCTGCCTGTAAACAGAAGCACCATCTAAGGTGGTCATACCTCACATAAACAACACGAAAAATAGATTTTTTTGTGTGGATCTAAGAGTACAAGGCAAAATGTCACTTGCCCTGTTTGATGATTGCAATTCTATACCGAAGATGAAAGTATCAGGCTGTTGTTGCCCTTATTTCATTTAGGAAAGAAGTGTGACAAACATAACTAACACATTGCAAAAAGGCAACTTTGGGGGGTGACATGTTAGCAGATATACTCTGAATAGCTAGAAAGTCAAGATAAATGAGATAAGCCACAAAAACAGTACTACCCAAAGTTATGTTTGAAAATGTATTGATAATGGGACAAAGTTTTTCCTCAGTTGACCTTGAAATTGAAAAATATTTCTCAAGTACAGTCAAGTATATCAGGGATTTTATTTTCAGAGAAACATAATTGGAATATTATGAGTCCATATAAAACTGTAATAATGATATTTCAATTCCAAATGCTTTCTGATTACTAATTTAGTTTCTTATAACTTGGAGATAGGAATATCCTAAATATAGACATATTCCTACCAGATTAGAAGGCATAGCCTCTCTGTAATTTAAATTAATATATCTCAAACTTTTTAAACAGGGTAAAAAATAAAAAAATAAAAAATAAATTAATATATCAGTTAATCTCTTTGGAGTTTAAGTAGCTTGAATGAATCTCTGATCTTTTGGATAAGTTGACCAAATGTTTTTGTACTCACAAAGGTGAGATCTATATCCTGAATTCACCAAAATGCAGACACCTGTGAATACCCAGCCACTCTAACTGATAACTTAGCACTGCCACAAGTGAAAGTCAGAATCCAATGTAAAGTATTAAAAATAAGGTAGGAGAAAAGGCTACAATATTTCAGTTTTGTGTTTTGAAGAAATAGAAAGGTTTGGAGAATTTGAAGAAAAGATGATAAGCCTGACTCATAATGAACTTACAATTTCAAAACTTTGTGGATGGTAAATGATTTGTTTCTTAAGAAGTTACAAACCTCAGCTAGCAAGTAAACTAGTTTATTTCATACATTAGTTAACCAAAAAAAATAAAATAAAATAAAAGGGACAGATCATACACTAATCAAAACCCATTGTAGTGGTAAAAAATAACATAATTTTAAAACTTCCAAATGGTTCTCTTTTAATCCAATTTTAAAATTGGGAATCTAAGGCCCTGAGGTTAAATGACTAGTTCAAGGTAGTCAGTGGTACAGTTAGATTTTGTATTCCTGCCTTTTTTCTTATTGCTCTGTCTGATCCAATTGACTTGGAAAATCTCTCAGGACTGCCAAAATCTCTCAGGGATTAAAGTACAGCAATCGCTTAAAACGGAATGTAAATTACATATTCAGTTAACTTGGTTGGTAGAACATTGAACTGATCATCTCAGAGCTTTAGAGCCTGTTATTTTTGTGGTTAGAGGAAGAAAGATAGGAGGAGTTAGATTGGAATATGAACTGGCAGGATTAATACCTAGCCTCTGGCAACCAGCTCTGGCCCCAATTAACTGTGAGATTTTTTGATACCTTTTCTGTGTTTCCTCTTGTGTAAGTAAAGTGAAGAAACTTTTTATTTACTTACAGTTCCTTCTAATGCCAAAATTCTGTGATTTCTTGTAAACTTTTCCCAGTCCAAAAGTACATTTTTAAAAATATACCTTTAAAGGTTTAAATTGACCTAGGGAGAAAGATTTTGAATTAGTTGGCTTTTCTCATTACCAGATAGTATAAGGAATTCCTACAGATTATAAAGCATTTTGTGACAAATCAACTTTCCCATATGAAAAATTCTGGAAAATTTTAATGTGCAACCAGGCCCTCCCTTTTTTTGGACAACCTTCCCCTTTTTTTTTGTTAACTAATGCATGAAATAAGCTAGATAGGGAATTAATGACAATTTAATCAGAGTAAAAGAAAATACCTGATGATCTTAGAAACTATGGTATAATCCAGTGGTAATTTACATAAGGCAGGACATCAAGAGACCTGGGACTTGGAAAGTAACTTTCCATGGCCTTATATAGTATCATTTACTGGGCCTCTATTAAATCCCAGGCACTGTGTTAGGTGGTCAAAATAAAAAGATAAATAAGATGTAATCCTGGTCCTCAAAGAGCTCATCATCAGGTGAGGGAGATAGCTTGGTAAACCAATAATTGCAATATAGTTCATCATATCCTATGACAGAAATAAAAGAGCCTACAGGAGTGGTTCTCAAACCCGGTTATACCCTAGAATTTTCCAGAGAGCTTTTTAAAAATACAGATGCTTTCACCCTGTCCCTCAGAGATCATGATTTAAATGATCTGGGGAGGGACCCAGTGAAATGCTATTTTTCCAAGTTCCCAAGGGGATTCTACTACACCACTAGGATTGAGAATCACTGGGATAGAAGGGCACCAAACTCAGTCCTTAAGACAAATAGGTAATGGTCAGGCAGGCAAGGAGAGAAGAATCTTTCGGCTTTGTGCATGAAGATAATAAGACTCGTGGCACATCAGGGGAACTGTAAATAGTTCTGTTAAGCTCGATGTAGAATATATGAGAGAAGAGGGACATAATGAAAGATGAGGCTGGGGAGGTAGGCAGGATGCAGATCATTTATGACCTGTGAAGGAGTTTGGACTTTATACTAAAGTCAGTGAGAAACCAGTAGGGGAGTGACATGATCTCATTTCTCTTTTAGAAAAGATAGCTTCAGTCGTAGGTTGGAAGATAAATTAGAGGGAGTGGAAGCAGGGAAACCAATTAAGAGGCTATGGTAATCCAGGCAGGAAGGAGTGCCTGAACAAAAACAGTTGTACTGGAAAGGTAGATGATATTCAAGCAATAGATAGAAAGGAGGCGGAATCAACAGGGCAGTTGGATGTGGTTGGTGAGAGTAAGAGTTGTTTACGGCATTTAATTTTTCTTATTTTGTACCTACTTTTGCTCATTTGCCAGTAGTAGATCTGCCCAGAATTAAATATAATACTTCAGAGGTGGGGAGGAGCTTCATTTTATGGACTTATTAACAACATATTGTACAATGTGGTTTTGAAATGTAGTCATTTCAAATCCAAAAGCTATCAAAATAATCAGAGGCTGTTTACAATCCCTAAATGACTAAGTTCCTGACATGCTTAAGGCCAAGGATCTAATATTTCCACCCAGATTGGTGGGGGGAGAAAGGAAAAACAGCACTAAAACAGAGGTTTAAGAGATTTTGATTAACACAAATGACTGTGCCTAGTCTTTAAATCTGTCCAAAGCAAATGGAGTGAAAGCCTTTTAATCCTTTAGTGCTTCATCTGGCAGTGACCTCAGAAAAAAGCGCCTCCCTCCTACATCATCAAACTGACTTCCTTTAGTTCTTTGTTGTTCTGTGTAGATCTTTGAACCCAGATTTCTCTAAGATAGGGAAAAAAAAACGGGAAAAAGACAGTTAAAACATTGAGTGCTATGGGATTCACTTTACAAATCCACTAAAAATATTAAATTAGAATGAATGTATGTTAACAGATGCATTCCCAAAATCTGTACCCACTATCTATTCAAGCCCTTAAGATGATTTTTTAAAAGAAAGTATAATAGTTCTCACCACATGGGGTTCATTCTTGCTGTTAGTTGTTCTGCCCTTAGTTATAGTGCCCATGGTACCTAATGGGAAACATTAGGAAAATGAGAGCTTCTTTTTAGAAGAAAAACAAAAACAAAAAACCTAGTTTTAAGTTGCAAGGCTGTTGACATTTATCACAGTATCATATAATTATATCACTGTAGTACTGACTCTGGTATTAGCATTGATGTGAATTTTCTGATTGTTGTTTCAGAAAATAACTTCATCAAACAATATTTTTAAAGTTAGAGTGGTGGATCTTTTTTCTGTGGAGAGCTCATGTCCCATGGGGGAAAATCCTTTGAGAATTACATGCAAATAAATGAAGAAATGGAATAATAAATTCTGTGTATTTATACACAACCTCAGGTAACCTAGCTGTATAGTTCTCAAAAATGCTCAATTGTAGATAGTGGAGAACAAAGTTAAGGGTGGAGATGGGGAAAAATAAAGAGAAGACAGAATGGCAGGCCCAGGCTGAGGGAGCAAGGGAGCTAGTAAAAAGGGGAAAGAGGGAGAATTATAGTGGACTAAACAGGACCTATAATGAATATATCCTAAGTTAGAGTAGCCAGACTACAACATAGGACTCCCATTTAAATTTGAATTTCAGTAAATACCAAATACTTTTTAGTATGTCTCATGTAATATTTGGGACACATTTATACTAAACATTATTTGTTTATCTTAAAATCAAATGAACACACACAAAAAGGTATCCTCTTTTTATTTGCTAAATATGACAGCCCTATCCTAGACATCCTGCTGTACTCCTGGAGTGTGTGATGCCAACAAGTTATGGAATCTATTATTACCCATTAAAATGTAAAAAGAAAATCACAACCTCATCCACCTGTGAAGAGCCTGCCCCACAGATCATTCATTAAGGAAATTTCTTGCTAACCTCCCATAAGCAAGGACATGCAAGTTATACCTATATCTAGCACCTCAAACTAAAGATCTGATTCCACACTAATAATGAATTATAAGTTTATCTTACAGGTAACAGAACTGGAGACAGAATCTGACATTCTTCTACCTACCCAGGGACATCTACATAATTGATGCTTCCTTCACTCTATTATTTTATGTAAAATGTAGATTTCTTGAGCTTCACACAAGAATGTAGCCACTACCTCATCAGCCCTCGCACCCACCCTTTTCCTTTGCCTTTAAAATGCAGAAGATTCCAACCTTCAGAAAAAAATAGCCACAGCTTGTCTGTGGTTCTTGTTTTTCCCAGGTTTGTCTTTAAAATCTTGGCTTAATAGACCTCCATTGATTGCTATTTTTACCTCAGTCATTTATTCGAGTTGACAAAAATAATCCTAATATCAATAAGGATACAGTTTACTTTTTTCCCAACCTTCAAAATTTATACTTAGGGAAAAAAAGAATTTTATTCTTCCTCTGAGTTTCTATGGGTTTTTATGGGAAGTGAAAGAATGACTTAGTTTAGAAATTAACTTTATAAGCTACTAATGCCATAAACCTAACTTTGAAATTCAAAAGGTTCTGGTTGCCTCAAAGTTTAAAAAAAACCTGTACTTGAGAGCAATACAGACCTTATCAAGGACTCAGATTTGAGCTAGCTGTGGCTTTCCACCCTTGCCCTTTAGCTTAACACTACTATTTTCCTTTCAGCAGCACCTGCTGAAGTGTATTTCAGGAAAAACAATACTACAGTGAAGTAAAGGTTAAAGCCAGAAGGAATGACTTGCTATCAGAACAGAAGGAGTTACAGAGTAAACAAAGTCTCAGGAATATTCATTTCCCACCTCACTGAACTTTCATCTGAATTTATAAGTGTAGCATAACATTCACATACAACCTTCAGGTTCTTCTCAAAAGAGCTCAAGTAAATGCTAAGAGTTGGGGGAGGAGGAGGAGAGAAAAGCAAGGCTATCAGAATCAAATGTCTTATCACAAGTTATATTATTGCTGAAGATAAACCTCTTCTTGAAACACAGCAGGTGTGATGGGAAATATAGCTGAATTCAGAGATTGCTTATTGCCTATGTGCTCTAAGACAGGTGACTGCAAAAGTCCACAAACTTCTGGACTCTACAAAAGCTTAGGAGGGGCCGCCATACACCCTGAGTCAAATTATAATTTTACACTGGTGAGGAAGCAAATTCCTTCAAATGTTACCTGTCTCTGGAAAGAGCAAAAAGGAAGACTTCACCCTAGGTGTAAACAACAGACTAGGTGATGCAGTATGCTAAAGAGATAAGACTGACAATGGTAAGGCAACCTCCTAGGCCTCAAGGGAATTTGCAAGTAGGGAATTGCTTGAAGTGTAACAAAGTGAGTAATATTAACACAGGATTGTATTTTGCCAGCCCAATAGATCACACCACTGCAACTCAGCCAACCAACACACAGTACAGTGGGAGGAGGGATTCTTGGCTAAGAGCAGTGGAGTAAACCCTTCCTCTACTTGAAAATGCCTGGAACAGAAGGGCCCGTACCCTGAAATACTGGAAGGTGTGTCCAAAATAACATTGCACCATTTCTCTAGAACAGGTTTATGAAATTCAATTCTTTTGAAACTGGAGGAAAAGGAACACTATCCGAAAACACTATTAAGTACTCAGTAAGCACCACCTTGTGTAATTGTTCAACTCATTGTTTATTTCAGTGCTCCAACTGCCTGATTTATCTGTGGTAGAAAGAAACAATGTTAGTCTAAGATTGTGGAGGAAGTTGGCAATGACCATTTTGGGGAATGGAGGGAACTGTAGTTCAGGGAGTAGAATAATAGATAAGGTTTGTGTAGCAGAACACTGAGTTTAATATGGTCTAATCAAGACTGCCAATAATACACTTTGGTGCCACAGAGCATGTCACACAACATAAATAGGTTCTTTTTTCTTTTTTTTTTATTTAATATACAAATGTGGTACATTTTGTCCTAAGGGTAATTAATAAAAGGCCAATCACTTCCATTTCACCTTTCCTGAATTACCACTATTTGTGGACTTGAAGCTTGGATGTGGTTGGTGCCATCTACTGGGATAAATGCAGAATTACAAACCTGAACGAATTAACCTTAGGGAGTATGATTCTTCATTATATACCTTAAGCAGGTGATAAATTTGGATTCAATTCAGAGCCCTGAGAGCTACAAGAGGCATGAAAAATCACATACTTTAACACTGCCACTTTGTAGCATAATCTAGGAAATAAGCCTTGAATGTGGTCAGAAACCTAGCTTTTCTGAGCTTGTTTCTTGTTCTATAATACCTAGTCAAGTCATTGTGAGGGTTACATAAAGTGATGTTTTCAACACATTCTATAATATGTTGTGGTTGTTTTAGATAAAGAAAAAAGCTGAAATTAAATGACTTTCCCAGGTAATATAACTAGAGCCTCAGTGTAAGGCCTGCAACTCATGTATCTGAGTCTAAATCCAAAACATTTTCCATTAAATTACAATTTTCCAATATTTGATGATGAGATGATTTTAGGTGGAAACTCAGATAAATTTAGGATGTATTCGAACACAAAATTAAATACTATAAATTATAGTAAGAAAATTATTCCCTTTTCAATTCTTTCAAATTTGATGGCATCAAGAGGAAAGTTTCACTTTGGTGCTAATTTTCTTTAAAAATTCTCTGTCTTGCTAATTTCACTTCCTAATAAAGATAAAACAGGACTCAGACTTCAGAATCTTGTTAGAAAATTAAAATTTTGGTTTTTTTGTATACTTATTTTTTTATATTGAATCATTTAACTCTCATAATTATTGGTACTAGTATTATCCCAATTTTCTTTTTTTTCTGAATACTTAATTTTTTCTTTTTAACTTCAGAATATTACAGGAGTACAAAAGTTTTGTTTACATAAATTGTTTTTGTATTGTTTGAGTCACAGTTATGTGTGTCCATCCCCCAGATAGTGTGCATAATACCTGTTAACTGAATTTACCCATCCCCTCCTCCCCCTCTACCTGCTTGATTTGCAGTAAACATTATTTCCATATGTGCATATAGGTGTTGATTAATTAGTTCCAATTAAATGATGAGTACATGTAGTATTTATTTTTCCATTCTTGTGATACTTCACTAGAAGGATGGTCTCTAGTTCCATCCAGGTTAATACAAAAGGTATTAGTCCACTTTTTTATGGCTAAGTAGTACTGTATGATATACATATACTACATTTTATTAATCCACTTATGTATTTTTTTTTTTTTTTTTGAGACAGAGTCTTGCTTTGTTGCCCAGGCTAGGGTGAGTGCCGTGGCGTCAGCCTAGCTCACAGCAACCTCAAACTCCTGGGCTCGAGTGATCCTTCTGTCTCAGCCTCCCGAGTAGCTGGGACTACAGGCATGCACCACCATGCCCGGCTAATTTTTATATATATATATATCAGTTGGCCAATTAGTTTCTTTCTATTTATAGTAGAGACGGGGTCTCGCTCTTGCTCAGGCTGGTTTTGAACTCCTGACCTTGAGCAATCCACCCGCCTCGGCCTCCCAGAGAGCTAGGATTACAGGCGTGAGCCACCGCGCTCGGCCTCCACTTACGTATTGATGGGAACTTGGGTTGTTTCCACATCTTTGCAATTGTGAATTGTGCTGCTATAAACATTCAAGTACAAGTGTCTTTTTTATAGAATGTCTTTTCTTTTTCCTGAGAACTGAGAACCATGCATGCATAGAATGTCTTTATATAATCCCAGTAGTGGGATTGCTAGATCAAATAGTTTTAGTTCTTTGAGTAGTATCTCATACTACTTTCCATAGAGGTTACAATAGTTTGCAGTCCCACCAACAGTGTCTGAATGTTCCTCTCTCTATGCATGCATACCAGCATTTGTTGTTTTGGGACTTTTTGATAAAAAAGCATTTTCATTGGAGTTAAGTGATATCTCATTGTGGTTTTGATTTACATTTACCTGATGATTAGAGATGTTGAACCTTTGTTCATATGTTTATTGGCCATTAGTCTATCTTCTTTTGAAAAGTTTCTGTTCATGTCTTTTGCCCACTTTTTAATGGGGTTGTTTGATTTTTTTCCTTGCTGATTTGCTTGAGTTCTTTATAGATTCTACTTACCAGCCCTTTATTGGATATATAACATGCAAATATTTTCACCCATTCTGTAGGTTGTCTATTCACTCTAGTGATTGTTGTGTAATTATTAAGTTTACCTTCTATTATGGAAAACTATACTAATTTTTTCATTTATAATAGTAATATAAATTTTATTTTAAGGAGTACATTTAAGAATTTAAAGAAGCCAATCTAAATAGCAAATATTGAATAAACAGTAGTCCAAGTGATACATAAAGTTTGAAAACACTGAGCACCACCAAACTACCTCCCTACCAGTAAGAGATTCTGTTAGCAATAATCTCTTCACATAATTACTTTTAAAATTCTTCCATGAAGAAAAATATCTTTTGTTTTCTTTTCAATAATCAAACACTAAAGGTTATAAATAGGCAAAATCTAGGACTCTGTTAGATTTCAAATCCACTATCACACAAACAAACCCAAAGATTTTGTATATGTGTGTTAGAAAATGAAACTAGTCTATAATCAGTACTCAATGAATACAGAATCAATAAAACACAGGACTAATGGGTCACTCATGCCTGTGGCTACATTAATTTGTGGTAACTGAATAGTATAGTACCCCATCACTTAATTCTCTAGGAACATAAAAGAAAAGGTGTTGATCTGTGGCTGTTCCAGTTCAAAATTGATTCAATGTTCTGCAAGCAAAGAAAAAGAAACCTCCTGAAGCAATCAAGTTGAATGGAACCCTGCACTATTTACTAAGTTAGGCTTGATTTTAATCTGGAGCTAAAATAATTTGTCTTCTTACCCTATAGATCTCTTGAGATGACCTTCAGTTAATTTTGAATGAAGTAAAACAGGCATCTATCTGTCCTTCTCATAACCCTCCTCTCCTCTGTCTTTTTAAATTGTATCTTAATGATTTTATACTGCTTCCAGTTGCATTCCAAGTTCTTTCCTTCCAGCACTCTACTGTCCAATTCTTATCAAAATATCATTTGAAAGAAAAATATGTGTAGAACAATACTACTTGAAGGATAGGTAGTCCATCTAGTCTTGTAGATTTTCTAAAGTTTACCTATGGCCAGACCAGCATACTGCTATGTACCTGGACCAAATAATCTCAAGGTGATTTATCACTTTTTATTTTTTTTGAGACAGAGTCTCACTCTGTTGTCTGGGCTAGAGTTCCATGGCATCAGGCTAGCTCACAGCAACCTCAAACTCTTGGGCTAAGGGATCCAATCCTCCTGCCTCAGCCTCCTGAGTAGCTGGGACTATAGGTATGTACCACTATGCCCAGCTAATATACACACACACACACACACACACACACATGTGTGTGTGTGTGTGTGTGTGTATGTTTTATTTATATATATATATATATTTAGTTGTCCAGCTAATTTCTTTCTATTTTTTTAGGAGAGACGGGGATCTCGCTCTTGCTCAGGCTGGTCTTGAACTCTTGAGCTCAAATGATCCACTTTCCTTGGCCTCCCAGAGTGCTAAGATTACAAGCGTGAGCCACTGTACCCGGCCCATCACTTTTTTTTTTTAAATTTTAAATTTATAAGTTGTTACCTGATTGCACCAAAGAATAAATGAGAAACAGCCTAGGAAATTTAGATTCTGAATTCATTTTAGAAATATTGTTGAGGACATTGACGTTGTCACACATACAGCATCCTGTCCCTACTGTATAGACCTGGAGAAGTAATTTATCTAAGGTGTTAGTACAACAAAAAGCTGTTTTTCCTGAGCAATTGGTTCACCAAGACTTCATGAACACTGCTCATCCATGTTTCTTTTTGCTAGGAAATTCAGAACCAAATTTTCAGCCTACCTCTACCAACTATATAGTACTTCATTATTTGTTCTCATGTATTTACCTGGCTTCAACTTATTTTCCCTTTCCTTTGATTTATTTATCTATTTAACCCTATGTGTTATGTGTGATTTTCATAAACTATTCAAGCCTTTTATGGAATAAGACTGAGAAGAGATTAGAGACATTAGATAGAGTGTTGTCTTCTCTTGGCTATGATTTCTCATTGAATGTCCATTTTTAAAAATATAGAATTTTAAAAATTTTTCCCTGACCCCCAGATTCATTCCTTTATTCTATTTTTTTAATAGACTATATGATTTCTGCTACTGATGCCATAAATTCTTTGAGGGAAATCACTGAAACTCTCAGAGGAACAACTGGGATGGTAAAATTCACAACCATAGTCGGATGTCTGTCTCTTTGGCCTTCTGCTCTGAAATAGCAAAGTCTATTCTAACAAAATGCATGAGCTCAACCAATTCTAATTTCTAGGAAAGGGGAGGAGGTAGGAAAGAAATTAAAAACTTTATTGAATGCCAACTATGCATCAACTATATATGCTAAGTACACAATATGTTGCTTTATCTTTACAAAGGAAATCTTAATTTCCTCCAGAGAGAATCTTTATCTTGGTATAAGAGATTCTGAGTAATAATAATAATGATGATGATGATAGTGAAAAAAATCTATTATCATACCACTAAGACTTAACTTATTGTATGCCAGGCATTGGGTTGCTCACTTACACCTCCAATGTAAAACAAACAAAACAAAATCTCAAACTGTGTACCTAGGATTTTTTACTTACCTTGGGACCCAGGAAGATTTAAAAATGTTTGCTTTGGCTCAAAATTCTGCTGTAAGTACAGTGATACTTTCAGGTCATTAGCCTTCTGGTAGTTCTTCATAGCTTCAATTCTCAGCTCAATCACTTTGCCGTGAAAGTTGTTCTGAAACAGGACATTTCTCAAAACTATACATACAGTATTAGCTTCTCTAAAACTATTGTTACCTAAGTCAACTTTACCCAGAAGCTAAAAAATAATCCCATCATACTCAGTCTTTAAAAATGGGCAGAAAGTATTTGTGATTTTCCCCCGTTTCAAATAGAACAAAATCAAGAACATATATTCCAAGTTACTCAAGGTAAAACCAGAGATAGGTCCCTTTAGCCATTTTCACAAATATGTTTCTTTAGTGGGACAATTGGTAACCCAGGATGAGGGAACTGGACTTAACAATTTGGATCTAAAAGCCTTTATATTGTATGAATGAAACTGCATTTCATGTCCAGCCTTAGAAGATCTTAGTACCTGAAGGATGTTGGTTTGATCCTGATACTTGACCCGTTCCATTTTCCTCTGTTGCTTTTCCTGGTGGAAGAAAGAGCACTGGGTGACAAAGTAAATTGAGATCAGATATGTTTTCTCAGTATGCTGCCAAAAACCTTATAGCAAAATTATGGTGTCATAGATTCATTATTAAATTAGTTTCAATGGCACCATCCTAACTGGCCTCACGTGTACAATCCACTCTCTAAAAGCTAAAATCTAAATGAATAAGGTTATTTTATGTGAATGAGTTGGATATGGGAAGATGAGATACAAGCATAATACCTCTAAATAAATTTTCAAAGACAAATTAACAAGTGTTCTGACATCACATAGCTATTGCAGAGTTGTCATTGTTGGTATAACTTCTCTCACTTTGCACTAACATGACTTCCCAGAAACTTGGATGTCACTCTACTCAAATATAATATCCCAGGGGAACCAGATTGCCTATGACAACTTTCATAGTTTCAGGAATATACCATAACTTAGGTAGATTGCTACAACATTAAAGATTTCTCATGTATCATCCCTATAAGCCACTACTGTTTAGAATGGTTGTACTACCTTCCTTCCTCATCTCCTTCACTTTCTCTGCAAGTGATGTTTCCAGTTCACTGTTGGTCTTCCTAGGTGATGAGGGGGATTTGGGAGCCTGGGATGAAAGAAGAAAGCTAAAGGAATAGGAGGTCACAGGACAGAAGTGCAATGTCTCAGCAGACCATAAATCTAATATACCCTGAAAACCCAGATCCTACATATCTGCCTACCCAAATTAGCCCTGATTGTCAACAAGCTATCTCCAGCTGTGTGGCATCAACAGTCTTGAAATTCTGAGTATATGCAGTCCACTTGCCTTTCCGTCCTGCAGTTCTGCCTTATTTTTCATCTGTGATGTTTTTGGTTGATCACTGAATTCTTCTGACTCTAATGTCTGTGGAGAGACATTTTGGCAAGGGTTTAAATTAGTGGAAATTAATGAGGGAAGTGGAAAACCAATATAAGTTAAAGTTTTTGATTCCTGCCAGTCAGCAACTTCTCAGGGCCTGACACGAAAAGTGTACTGCCAAAGGGGGTTCAGAATGTAATGAGCTCTTCCTTTCATTCAGTCCCTTGAGCATACTTTATAATAATAAAAACTATTAACTGAACCCTTATTATATGCCAGTCACTAAGCTACTTACTGCATTACTCTACTAACTTTGACTATTCTACTACATTACAAACATTCACATTTACTCCTTGCAGCTCTTTTAGGACTATTTTTATTTACATTTTATAGATGAGAAAACTAAAACTTGAAGAGGGTAAGTCATTTTGGGAGGTCACATAGCTAGGAAAATACAGAGCTAGAATTTGAACCAGATCTTTCTTTCCGACTTTGAAGCCCGTGTTCCTGACTACAAGGCATGCTGTTCTTCATTTTTCCCTGAAATATGGGTAGGGAAAGTTGATCACAAGCTACACGTATGGACATCTCTCGTTTTATAATAAAAAGTCTTTTAGTAGCTCTGGAGAAGGTGGATTTTGATAGAGGAGTTGTGCTGGCACATTTCGTGTCACAAGGACTCAAGAACCCTGGAACTAAAACTTCTGACGCCTCACAGAATTGATTTGTAGCTGCCACTGAGAACCCAGAGCAGATCTCAATACAAGACGCTTGTATTCTGATTATTTGTGGAAAGGTGAGATGACAAAAAGCAGCCAGAGATCACACCAAACACCTGTTTATATCACAAGACAAAATATGTTCTTCTGGTTGCATAATCTATTTATATATTTTTAAAAAAGAACACTTGGGTCTCAAGGGATTAGACCACAAAGGAATTTCCCATCGTCCCCTGAGCCCCAGTTTCCCAGTAAAAGGCCCTAATATTGTTATCTTAAACAATGCAGTGAGTGCTGTAAAATCATAGAGACATTAGAATTGGATATTTTGTATTCATTCATTCAGTTTAAATTTATTGATTTTCTACTATGTGCCAAGCATTGTGCTGGGAACAAAGGATTCAGACAAAGCAATCAAGATACTGGAAGACAAGATACAGGGAGATAAGACAAAAGTAAAAAAAAAAACAGTAAAAATAATAATATGTTTATATTACGAAAAGAGCTATAGAGGATGTGAACAGAGTTGTATAATAGAAAGTAGGCAGAGGATGCCCTATTTTATTTTAGATCAAGCAAACAAGGAGGGCCTCTCTGAGAAGGTGACATTTAAGCTGAGACCTGAAGGATGAGAATGAGCCAACCATGAAAAAATTGCATTACAGGCAGGGAATAAGGCAAGAGCAAAGTCCTTGAGACAGAAAAGTCTTGGCATGTTTGAGAAATCAAAGGGAGGCCAGTGTGGTGGCTGCATAGAAAGCCAACGGAGGATATCTATGAGAGAAGACTAGATGGAGAGCAGGTGAGAGCCAGATTATGCCACATCAAGGGGTGGCTGTAAAGGTTTTTTGTAAGAAGAGTGACATGGTTTGATTTAAAAATATCATCATGGCTGCTGTGCAAAGAATGGATTGGAATGAGATATTAGTGGAAGCAGAGACATGAAAAACTGAGAATGGAGGCCAGAGAAAAATGGAGGTTCTTTGTATTATGAACTGTAGAACAATACTTTCAAGAGATCCTTAGAGGCATACCTTGTTCCATAGCATCTCCATTTCCTTCCGAAGCATCTTGTTTTTCCTTTCCTGTTGGAGGGGGGAAAAACAAACAAAAACGTGTTTGTCCTGCCATTGAAGTGAGATTGGAAGAAGTTACTAAGTAATGGTGGAAAATAGGTACAGGGACATAGTAAACCACAGATGAAGACAATGAATGTGCCTAGTCTCAAATCCAGGAACATGAAAGATGAGTTTGATGATGATTATGGTAAAGCACACATAACAAGTTATTATTTCAAATAATAATTTGATAATGATTGTGAGATGGTATCAGTATAAATGAGTTCCTAACATTTAATATGTTCTCATTACATGGCAATTTCTCTGGGTCTTAAACCAATAATTCTAATTTTTAAGATCCTTTACATTGTTGGTTTTTTAGAAATCTTGGAAGAACCCCCATTATATACTGAAATTAAAAAAAAAAAAAGAATCTTAGTGCAAACTCTTTTCTCTTACTTTGATAGATATTTTCTATTCTTTCTGAAATGTGAATGGTTAATATGCCTGTATTCATTAATCCCTAAAGGAAAAGTTTTTTAAAAGTCAAAGAAATATAATTTTTATTAGTTAGTCCCTGTTTTTCCCAACATTTCATCTGATTCCCTTTGGATCAGTCTGGAGTGTATTCATCAAGGAGATATAAGTGTTGGAGCACCAGGTACTAGAAATGAGAATTCTGTCTTTCCTTGCACATCTGACAATGAGACGGAATTGAGCCCTATTTAGGAGGCTGTTCCTGTAGTACCCACCAACCTCTTACCAGGTTCTGTTTCATCTCCTCTGCTTCCTTAATGAGATCCATGACTGAAGATTGATCACTCCCCTTCCCTGCCATGATCTGCCTCATGATCTGCAGGCTAGAAGGAAGAGAGACATACAGCATAAAACATATCACAAAACATACATGCCTTCTAAAGGGTAATATTGCTATTCTGCAGTCAGAAAGTACTCTACCATGGAAGTTATACAGGGACTAAAAATCTCAGGAGTTAAGGAAGTCCTTCTGGACATAGAAGGTCTCTATAACTAGGATGATTCCACTCCTAATTGACATTTGCCTTATCTATGTGGTCTATAATGAATTATGTGCTCTTTAATGCTCAAAACTTAGGTCTTCAACAGCCAGTGAGAGTCCTTTCCACCTCTCTCAGAAGAATGTTTTGGTATATGAATTTTAAGAGAAGAAAAGTGGTTCTGCCCCTGTAAAGGAAGAGATTGAAGAACCTGCTGTCTTGTAGGATAAATCTCAGAGTTATTTCCTACCCCATCTCTGTCTACTTTCTCCTACAACCTTGCTTCTTTAGATAAAGGTATTTGAGTTTGTTAGGGAAACCACCTATATCCTCATGGTAGCCCCCAGAGAATGCAGGCCATTAAGAAGTTCTAACAGAATCTGAATCAATACCAAGTCATTCACTGTGAGAGACGATATTCCTTAAAGACATTAATTAATTTGTTTGTGTTCTTTGTACTTGTTTCTCCTCAGCTCTAAGCAGAGAGCCATGCCTTTATGTTGTCTTGCTCTGAAAGAAGTCTGTGTTGCTGGGTTATAAGCAACTGGTGCTTGACCACAACTTTCTGCCTGACTTTTGTTCTCTAAAAGTCTAAGTTCCTTGAGATGATTATGATAAGCATATAGAATAAAGGTAGACCCATTGAAGTGAAATTTTCTGAGACTAGAAAGGAAACAGAGAGTTGGTGGGCCCCAAGATGAGTAAGTGCTCTAGTAAAGAGTTAAAAGCTTAGTTACCTAGTATATTTAGAGAGGTTATACACCAATTCAGAGAGCTTCTAGGCTCAGAAAAGATTGCCATTCCACTACTTGGCATAGAAAGAATAGAGTCATTTATTCTAAAGTGATTCCACAAACATGATAAGGAAGCTAGCAGTGTGACCATGATAGACAGAAGCTATTAAAGGCTCTTAACTGTTTCTTGGTGGGCACCCTAGGGAGGAAGAAGAATAACTATAGCCCCATGGGATGAGGGATGAGTCATTTTACCAAAAGAAAATAAAGGATTCATCATCATTCTGAGTTTGTGGTTACAAATTATTTATCTACTACAGCTGAATATTCAAACCTTTTAGTAATTAAAAAAAAAAAAAACATTGTAAGTAAGTATTGCTAGTTCTGTGGAAATTAAGTTCTCCAGTCTTTCTACCTCTAAGAATCCTGAGTAAGGAGCCCTTACCTTCTTTGTTTTTCCTCCAAGTTAGACATTAACTTCTGGTATAAGAGGTTGTTCTTATTTTCTAGAGGTTTAAGCATCTCTAGAAGTTCCTGCCTCCTTAGCTTTAAGTCCTCATTCAATTCTTTCAAGTAGTTGTCATCTATTTTAGAACTTCTGTGGGAAGAGACACCATATTATCTGCCTTAGCCTGAGTTAGTAGAGAGAGACAGACAGACAGAGAGACCCTCTTTTCCCTCTTAGATAATTACCACTTAGCATCCTCCATCAAAGACTCACCTTATTTTTGAGGGCGAGGGAGATCCTGAAGAGTTTGCACCACTTGTCATCTTGAAGGGAAACGTCTACTCTAAGAATGAAGAGGCTTTCTTGAAAATATGTTTTCTTTTCCCATCCAGTTAAGTCATCATTTTTGTGCTGCTGTTCTTGAAACTCCTATTGCATTGGACTGATTTTAGCTACAGCTTGAGGTCACAATGGCCCTAAGACCACAAAATCAACAAGTCTTTTAAGTAACTCCAACATCAATGGCAGCTTGTTGACTGAAAATTCTGACTACATCTGGTCAGTTCTAGCCAAATGCCAAAAGTTTTATTCTGGAGTCTTTGTGTGTTTTTTTGGTTTTTGGTTTTGTTTTTTAAGACAGAGTCTCAGTCTGTTGTCCAGGCTAGAGTGCCATGGCGTCAGCCTAGCTCACAGCAACCTCAAACTTCTGGGCTCAAGCGATCCTCCTGTCTAAGCCTTCCGAGTAGGTGGGACTAGAGGCATGTGCCACCATGCCTGGCTAATTTTTTTCTTTTTTGGTAGAGACAGGGTCTCATTCTTGCTCAGGCTGGTCTCAAACTCCTGAGCTCAAACAATCCACCTGCCTGGGGCTCCCCGAGTGCTGAGATTACAGGCATGAGCCACCATGCCTGGCCTATTCTGAAGTCTTTGAATGTATAGGATAGAATCATAATGGAATTTCTATTGTGTTAGAAGATGGTGGCCTGTCAAAAATAACTCATTGCTATCTTCTATGACAGTACACTTCTGTGGAAGGCCTACTATCTGTAGGGTACCATGCTTGATTCTGTGAGTGAAGAAAAGATAAAGACACAGTATCTATCTCCTTACCTTCTGGGGACTTTAGGAGGAGGAGGGGATACTTCTAAGAGACATTTTTAAAAAATAGAGTCCAAACTGGCAAATATAGGATATGGATATAATAGAATAGCATACTATATGTACCATTGTCATTATTTTCCAATCTTTAAAACATGGTATTACCATAATGACTAGATGAAAGAATATTGTATACATAGCAAGAGAACTTAATTTGTGAAAGATCCATATTGTTAGTATATCTTTCCATAGCCAGAGTCTTTCCTGGAAGATTGTAATTCTAGGCTCACTTCAAGATGTTGATTCTGCTTCTCTTTTCCTCTTTACTAGAACCACATTTCCTCTGGACCCTAAGATCTTCTGTCTTCATCTATGTCACTTAATGAACAGAAGATAATCCCAAGAGTTGCACATTTGTTTTATCATGCCTTTTAAACACAGTTTTAAGGCAGTATTTTCAGTGAAGCTTTCAAATGTGAGTTGTCAGTCAATTTCAAGTATTAACTGAACATTTCTAATCATTTTCTAGAGGTATTCTCCAAAGTAATTTAACCTTTATCTTTTGGGAAACAGTTGAGCATTAGAGGCAGAGTATTGTAGTGGAAATAACATAAGATTTATTTTGTCAGACCTTATTAGTTCACTCAGTTTCTCCATGAGCATTGAGCTGCCTGTGAGTAAGTTACTAAATTTGCTGAGCCTCTGTTTCCATGTTTTTAAAAATGAGAATGGTAATGTTGACCTGACAGGTTTGTTGTATGCATGAAATGTAATATTATGTAAAGTGCTTGGCTCATGTTAGGTGTTAACATTTTAGTGGGTTTTTGTTTATTTGGTTTGGGTTTTAGGATTGCTTAAAGCTCCAGTTAAGTGGTCAGATACAAAAAAAGCTGATTTATATGAGGCTAGTGAAGCTTAAGCTTCATTTTCACAGACGTCTTCCAAAGGCCTAGAACTTCATTTCATATTTATAATTTTGTATTCTTTTTTGGAAAGAGAGACCTCTCCAAATTAAATATTCTTCAGGGTCCTACAGGTTAGATAGGATACATAATGCTCCTGAGTGCCCTTTACAACAAAACTTCTTCTTAGGAAGTCTCTACAAATACTTTTTCTAAAACATACATATGTTACTTGTAAGATTGATATGATACCTAGTATAACATTTTATTAAATTAGAACAGCCGTATCAAGTCAACATTCACATTGGTTGCCCTAGGAAATTCCATGAAAAATTTGGATTGAATGAGAGTAAGCAAAAACCTCACAGTTTAAAAAAAGAACTGAATGGATGAATTATTATTCGTAGCATCTTTGATTGCATATGTAGTCAAAGTAGAGACAATAGTAGAGGACAAAAATAGCATTGATCACTAAAGCATAGCCTCTTTAAATTTCATGTTGTGACATTTGGTTGGCAGAACTATGATAGAATTTTAAAACATTTAATGGATAGGCAGCATCCCAACTCACCTGCCTTTCTGTCCTTGCTTATGAATGATTCAAAGAGGAAGAACATTTGCTATTCTGATGTGCTCTTTTCTATAGCCAATCAGCACCTTTTATTTCATAACATTCTGATGCCCCTTTGTTATCTTGCAACATGACTTCCAAGGAGAATGTTTGCTTTGTAATAATGTATACAGAAGACTTTATAGCGAAGAGCTTCAAAACCAAAAAGCAGTATTGAAAGGTGATGAATTGGTGTATGATATTATCCCTTGACACAGGGGGAAGATATATATGACTGTTAGAAGTGGAAGGAAAGGAAATTGAACATTATGTTTTTCCTGAAGTAGAACATTAGGTTATCTGTTGATTGAGGAGGTGTGGTAGAAACCTTGGAAGAGTGATGACTTGAAATTTGGAATAGCACCTGAGCAATGGGAAAGGAAGTCAACCAAGCAAGAGTAAAAGAGTTGCCAAGTAGTGCAAAGGGTCAAGATGAGTTTGGAAATTGTAGATTTTTCATGACATGAATCAGCAGTTATACAATTTTCTCCAGCAGTACTTGGCAAACTAGAAGCAATAGTAGAGAGAACAGATGGTTGTTCGACTATTGACTAGGACTTGGCAGAATGGATAAGCAGAAGTTCAAAGGAACAAGGGCTGAGAGTGCTGGTTAGAGTATCCATCAAAAGGTTAATCATAGTGTTTCGGTTGTGCAGGGAAGAAAATGAGAAAAGGGGTAGCTAAGAGAGGGGAAACCAGAAAGGGTTTGAGATTGAGGAGTGTGGGGTAGAAGAACAAAAGTTATGGTCAGTGAACATACTTCTTATGAAGTATCTTGTGGAACCTCATGACTGTTTAAATAACTTATAGTAGCAATTCATAATATTTTTTTTTGCAGTAAACTTTGTATTTGTTACTTCCTGTCACTGCATAATATTCACTGAAATTCATGTGGTCCCTTAAAATAGGCCTTATAACAAGCTATTCACAATGACCTAATTCAACATTATAGCATTTGACTTTAATATCTGTTGAGAAAATGTGTGATTGCTCTATAATTAGAGAACTCAGAGCAATACCATTTTAGTGTTACTTTTGCCAGTGGAAAATCAGATTAGTCTAATTAAGTCAGGTCTCCAAGAGTAAAGGCAATTATTTTCATATTAAACAGAGAGAGAGAGAGAGAGAGAGAGAGAGAGAGAAGAGAGAGAAAAGAGAGAGAGAAGAGAGAGAGAGAAGCTTTCCTATCCCCACCTCCCTCAGCTTTGGTTGTGGCAACAAAATTACAGAATTCCTCAGGGAGAAAATATGAGAACCTTCAGGTCCTCTCTGACCCAAAGCCAATTCAACCCTTGAGGGAATTGTAAGAATCCCATTAACTAAAATAGAGAAGTGCTAGCAAAATGGTAATAGCAAAACCTGTTGACTCTTAAAGTTCTCCCACACCCCCCTTTGCCATTTGTTATGGCCATTTTGTCAGCTCCTTCTTAACCCTTGCTATAGCCGTCTCGAGGCTATACCTACATTTGGAGTGAATCCATGGAGTTGCAAAGATTGAGATAAATTTAAGGATTCTTGAATTCTCTGTGTTATTGAAAGTAATGCATTCTCTCAACATGTCCAGATACTTAATACAATGGTCTTCAAATTGAGGTATGTGCACTTTCAGAAAGACTTTTCAAGAATTGTGGAAGCAAGGGTAGTATTTTAGATGATCTTTTCATAGATCCTGTATTTTCACAAGTACTCTACTAAAATGGGTCTGGCTGAGAATGCACCTTGGCTTCTTTTCCCATCTCTCCTTTCCCAGTCACTTCACCCACTTGTTAAAAGAATGGAATACCTTTCAACCATCTGGACTCTTTAGTGACTCGCTTCAGGGTTGTGTAAAAACCTCTAGGGCATTGCACTAACCACAACTCAAAATGTTAGTGTTGGGGTTAAAGATAGTGAATGGCTGTTAAGAACTGGATTACAAATTCTTTTGCAGGTCAGATGGTTTCCAATTCTTTGCTATTAACAAAACAGAATAAAAAACTAATCAAATTGTCAGCTTATACTCAATAAAATTAAATTTTGATGGTAAATTACTATATGATTTTTGGCTTACCATTCAGAAGGAGTTCAAAGATTTGAGGGACATTGCTATAATAAAACATCTTCCATTCCCATCTACTTATTTGTGTAAATAAGTTTTCTCAGTGTTATATATAAAGCAAGGAATATAAATAAAATTTTTGCTGAAGCCTATCTTATTCTAGCAATAAGTAATATTCACCTATGAATACATGAACTATGGGAAAAAATAGCCCATCCATCAAATTAATAGAAGCATTTCTAAAAAATTTGTTAGACTTAAAAATTACTTATGAAATATATATAAATATATATAAAGGGACTTCAAAGAATTCATGGAAATGTATATTATAAAAAAAACTATTCATGGATTTCAAATTTTTGTTTTGCACCAAAATAAACTCATACTAACTTGTTATAACATGTCTGAACAAAATCTAGTTTGAAGCACTAAGAAGGATAAGACATCAGTTTGAAAAGAGCCCCCATCAGAGCAACGTGAATTCTCTAAAATTGAAACAACAATAAACATCAAATTTAAGCTTGGGTAGAATAACAGGAAAATCATTGATGTTTATGAAAAGTTTATGGGGACAATATCCCAGAGAAATAAGCAGTTTACAAATGGACAACTCATTTTGAGAAGAGACAAGAAATGTTGAAGATGAAACCTTAATGGTAGACTATCAACATCAATTTTCAAGGAAAAAATTAATCTTGTTTGTGCTGCAATTGAAGAGGACTGACGATTAACAGCAGAAACAATAGTCAACACCATAGACATCTCAATTAGTTCAGCTTACATAATTCCAACAGAAAAACTTGAGCAAACTTTCCACTCAATGAGTGCCAAAACTGTGCACACAGATCAGCTGCAGACAAGAACAGAGCTTTCAATGGAATTTTTAAACACATGGGATCAAGATCCTGAAGCATGTCTTTGAAGGATAATAACAAGAGATGAAACATGGCTTTACCAGTACAATCCTGAAGACAAAGCACAATCAAAGCAATGGCTACCAAAAGGTGGAAGTGACTGGAAGTCCAGTCAGAACAAAAGTGGACCAGTCAAGAGTAAGATCATGGCAACAGTTTTTTTGGATGCTTAAGGCATTTTTGCTTGTTGATTTTCTGAAGGACTAAAGAACAATAACATCTGCTTATTATAAGAATGTTTTGAGAAAGTGAGCCTAAGTTTTAGCAGAAAAATACCAAGAAAACTTTACCAGAGAATCCTTCTCCACCACAACAATGCACCTGCTCATTCTTCTTATCAAACAAGGGCAATTTTGTAAGAGTTTCAGTGGGAAGTCATTAGGCATCTACTTTACAGTCCTGATTTGGCTCCTTCTGGCTTTTTTTGATTCCTAATCTTAAAAAAAATTGTAAGGGCACCCATTTTTCTTCAGTTAATAATGTAAAAGTGACTGCATTAACATGAAATTCAGGACCCTTAGTTCTTTAGGGATGGCTGGTATCATTGATTTTACTATCAATGATTTACATCCATGATTTTACCATTATCCTACCCAATGGCTGGTATCATTGCTTACAAGAGTGTCTTTACTTTAATGGAATTCATGTTGAGAAATAAAGTTTGTATTTTTAATTTGTATCTTTTAATTTCATTTTTCCACAAACTTTTTGAAGTCCTCTTGTATATGTTTTTGTCAATTGTGTACTACTAATAATTATAATGCTAACTCAATTCTAAAGAAATGTTAACACAACATCTTAAGGTCACCTAAAACTAAAAGAAATTCAGTGTAACATACTTGTTTTGCAAATAAATATAAAAGAATGTTTAAAAAAGGACTTTCAAGCATTAAAAAACATCTCATTAGGATAAAATTCTGTGGAGAAAGTGTGATGGAAACATAGGTTCAAGAAAGAAAAGGATAAACTAAAAATTTTCACTGCTGAAGAAGAATTTGTCCTATGTTTAGATTTCATTGAATATGGGTATTTAAGATTCATTGGATACATTTTAAGGTGGTATAAAACATTTATTTGAAAATGTAAATATTATAATACACTAAAATTATATTTTTGTAACTAAAATTAGAATAAAAATTTTTAGATGTCAACTTAAAAACATGTGAAATAGTATCTACTTTTTCAAAATTCTTTTAGAACACACAAGTGAAAAAGGTCTAAAGACCACTGCTCTGGGGCAGATATTTTCTCTCTGATGGGATTTAAGAATCACCTGAGGGATTTATAAAAGCTGCAGATCTTCAGGCTCATCCCCCAGAGATTCTAACTCTGTGGATCTGGAGAATGTGTGTTTTTTTTTTTTTTTTTTGAGACAGAGTCTCGCTTTGTTGCCCAGGCTAGAGTGAGTGCCATGGCATCAGCCTAGCTCACAGCAACCTCAAACTCCTGGCTCAAGCAATCCTCCTGCCTCAGCCTCCCAAGTAGCTGGGACTACAGGCATTCGCCACCATGCCCGGCTAATTTTTTGTATATATATTAGTTGGCCAATTAATTTCTTTCTATTTATAGTAGAGACGGGGTCTCGCTCTTGCTCAGGCTGGTTTCGAACTCCTGACCTCGAGCAATCCGCCTGCCTCGGCCTCCCAGAGAGCTAGGATTACAGGCGTGAGCCACCTCGCCCGGCCGAATGTGTGGTTTTAATGAGCACTCCCTGGTGATTCTGATGTGGGATCTATGGAGCTGTATTGAGAAATACTGCTTCAAGGTTTCTTCTTAGATCACAGTGCATCAACAGAAAGTTGCTTCCTTGATTTATTTCTTTTGTGGGGAGAGGCAGCAGTAGAACCGCCTCCTCTGAGTCATATTTTGGGTAACACCTTCACCTCTCAATTGGGATGCACTGAGTAAGTTTTATGAAGCCATTCCTGCATTTGTAAAGAAAATTATCTAAGACAGCATTCCATGACCAGCATTCCACAGCCACCACTGCTGTCCATATATCATAAAATTCTTTCAGAATTAGAGACTAAAGAAAGCATTGCTCTTCAGAGAAATATTGGCATGTATTTTTCCCTAGCGAAAAATCAGTAAATAGGTTT